TTCGTTCGTAAGGTTAGTCTGGACCACTCTTAGCAACACCTTATCGCTGTTCACAGCTCACTCCACTAGTGGCCACCACTGTGCAAAAACCTTCTTCACATTTCAGTCGATACGATTGTAATTCTGTGGCAAGAAAAAGTGCAGAACCAAATAAATATTACAATTCTAAAGTTGTAATACACCCAGTGTTCAATTAGTGTTCAATTAATTGAAGTGTTTTTATGCAAAGAATAAAACTGTCATTATACTGATGGTTGTTAGTTTTTCCATTATAATATACAAAGGCACATCGGCTGGCAAAATATTAGGCAGCACATAATTAGGAGTCTATTTAAAGGGAATGAATGTGATGGGGAGTTTGGTCAAACTATGGCAGCGAGACAGCGAATAGTTGTCCTAAATTAAAGACGCCTGCCGCAGAGCATAATAGTGTCAGAATAGCTACCATGTCAAAGGATACAATTCTACAAAAATGTCGCCTGCCACGGGAGCAAATTCAGCAGCTTTTACATCTTGTTGGTCCAACTTTGTCAAGACAAACTCGACGGAGCTACCCCCTAAGCCCCGAAATTCAGCTGCTGGCAGCTTTCCGTTTTTATGCTGTGGGGAGTTTTCTGGAGGTGGTTGGGGAAGGATATGGGCTGAGTAAAACCTCGGTGTTGCGGTGTGTTCACTCCATCTTGCTCCGTCACGCCACCGATTACATAGCCTACGTACGCCTTACGCCAGGCATGAAGTGATGGAGGCACACCAAGGCTTCCATGCCATTGTGTGTGTCCCGTGAGTAATTGGCCTTGTGGACAGGACACTTATCCCCATCGCCAACCCATCAGCACTCAATCAGGCCTTCATAATATATATGAACATAAGAATATAAATGACCCTTTCAAAATCAAGCGAAGCCAAACAGCCAGTTAATGTAGCTGATTAAGGCAGAATACTTTTGGCCGTGAAGTTGCAGGTTCGCACTTGCAAAATTATACATACATACACACACACACACACACACTGTATATATATGATGATATACAGTGTATATATATGCAGTGGGTATGGAAAGTATTCAGACCCCCTTAAATTTTTCACTTTTTGTTATATTGCAGCCATTTGCTAAAATCATTTAAGTTAATTTTTTTTCCTCATTAATGTACACACAGCACCCCATATTGACAGAAAAACACAGAATTGTTGACATTTTTGCAGATTTATTAAAAAAGAAAAACTGAAATATCACATGGTCCTAAGTATTCAGACCCTTTGCTGTGACACTCATATATTTAACTCAGGGGCTGTCCATTTCTTCTGATCAGCCTTGAGATGGTTCTACACCTTAAGTTGAGTCCAGCTGTGTTTGATTATACTGATTGAACTTGATTAGGAAAGCCACACACCTGTCTATATAAGACCTTACAGCTAAAAGCAGACTGGTAATTAATATTGCTATTTAAATATGACAGGCTCATAACTCCTAAGACATGGGAAATACAGTTGTAAATGGACTTTGCCTTTTCATTTGAAATTTGGCAGTCACTGTGCGTTCGCGAAAGCGAAAATGCAATTTTGCATTTGGATGTCGTCACAATTTATGCGTCCACATATTGAAAACACAATTGAAAATACAATTTGCTATTCTATTTGAAAATTGTCCGGAATATCGTTCCATAGAGAGAGAGAGAGAGAGAGAGAGAGAGAGATATTGATACATTTACACACTCCAGTTTGTTGTTAAAATATAAACATTTAAACAGTGGCTGTATTAACTTGTTTCAATGATGGATTTATTCAAACAAACATTAAATATTGAAGAACAAAAAATATAATGAATATGTAACAGCCCATATATTTAGCAAAATACTCCTTTTGTTGAGTTTTAAAACACTAAGTGTTGAAACACTGACTAAGCAGTTACATGAGACGTGACACATTTCAGTAAGTTGTACGGTTTCTTTCAACACCTCCTGATGTTCTTTCATGTTTATTTTGTGCTGTAACTAGTAGTAAAGAAGAAGAGATGATCAATCCACGTCACAGCGCATTAAAGAGTGCCAAAACTGCATTTATTGGTTGAATTTCATAATGAAATAGACATAATTTGAAAGCTGATACTTTCTTTCATTTATTGGATTGAAGGCATGCTACAAATATAGGTTCATTAAGTTTTGTTCATGCATCAACTGAAAAGAGCATAGATCGATTCTTGGGATTTAAGAATCGATATTACTTCATCAAAATGAAAACCGATTAAAACCAAGATATCAATATTTTCAACCTAGCCCTAGTAAATTTAATACTTTTTTTATCTTAAAGTATGAGCAATAGTAAAAACTGGAAGGGATTGACCTTAAAGGATACATATTATGCCCCTTTTTACAATATGTAATATGTCTCTGGTGTCCCCAGAATGTGTCTGTGAAGTTTCAGCTCAAAATACTCCACAGATCATTTATTATATAATTTTGAAAATGCCTATTTTGAGTGGAAGCAGAAACACGCTGTTTTTCGGGCTTGTCTCTTTAAATGCAAATGAGCTGCTGCTCCCTGCCCCCTTTTCTAGAATAGAGCTGCACCATTACAGCTCAGACCTGCTAAAAACATCTGTTTTGGTTCTGATTATCATGTTTATCGTGCTGAAATCATGCGTTTTAAACCATATGAGTTTAAACTTCTGATATACGGTTTTCTGAGTGCACTCATCCGAAGCACACGCACAGAAAGCGGTTGTCACAGCATGTGAATACTAAACTAAGCTCTCATTCACACACAAGTTTACGTTAAAAACACACATGAGTTACAAAAAAAGGTTATGTCTGTGAAGGTAAACTGTTGGGAAATAAATTGCATGTTTATTTTAGATCTGTGTGGCAGCAGCAATATACAGTAAATACATCAATAAATCCACTGTTCTCGTCTTCTCTGAGGCTGGGACTCTAAACAGTGTTCTGAGCTCGTCTCTGCAGCCAAAGACAGAATAGTTAGCATGTTTTGCTCAAACTTTCGCCATGGCATTAGAACTGGTACACCGTTGTCGCTTGCGAAAACACAATGATGGCACTATGGGTGTAAACTTACAGATTAAGGGGCAGCAATATTATAATGAGATCCCGTTGCCACGTCACCAAGGGAGCGAAATCAGACGTGCTCGTTTTCTCAGACGCTTGCAGAAAAAAGGCTTCCCAAAACAAAGTTACTGGGTTAATCTTTTTCATGTTTTATTGGTTGGAAGATGCACCGGGGACCTGATTATAGCACTTAAAACCTGGAAAAGTCCGATTTTCATGATATGTCACCATTAAATTCCCATCATGGTTGTGTTATTCTGTGGCACTCACCGAGTCGGTGGGCATCAGGCTGCTGGCGTGAGTGAATTCAGCCACCAGCTCATCGGCCACCTCGTTGTAAGATGTAGTGCCTTTCTTTTGCACCTTCTCACACACCTTCATGGAGAAGTGCCTGAGGCCTTTACCATTCTTATCTGCCCTCTTCATTCTCTTACTGCACAGACACAGAGAAAGACAAAGACAGAGAGTTTGCATGTTTAATTTCTGGACCATACATGTAATGGGTAGTTTTTTCTTCATTTTTTTAAGAAAAAGATTTTAAAAGAAAATTTAGCAAAAACAAAAATGAAGATAGTTAAGATTAGTAACATGAAGATTTATTGCATTATGTGCATCATTTTTGTGACAATTAAACCCCTTCCAATTCTCACTACCGCAATGCCAAAAACCCTCCAAATCTCATTACTGTAACGATAAAACAAGCAAAATGTGTATATTAATATAGCCTTGACTATACTTTATTTAATTTAAGTTAATTTTATTTTTTATTAAAAATTAAAGTGTTGCAGCAAAAATACTATATTGCAGCAACGGGAATTACTATTAAGAATGAAAATAATGTCACAATGCAAAACATCATAATCATAATAAAATAGGTGATAAAACAAGCAAAATGTGTATATTAATATAGCCTTGACTATACTTTATTGAATTTTATTTTATTTTTTATTAAAAATTAAAGTGTTGCAGCAAAAATACTATATTGCAGCAACGGGAATTACTATTAAGAATGAAAATAATGTCACAATGCAAAACATCATAATCATAATAAAATAGGATTAATTTCTTCATGTAAAATTTAGTTTTTTTTTCTTAGTAACACTTTACAATAAGGTCCATTAGTTAATATAATTAACTATAATTATTAGTAATAATAATATTAATAGTAATAATTAATAATAACATTATTATATTAACTAACATGAACAAACAACAAAAAATACATTACAGTATTTATTAATCTTGGTTAATGTTAGCTAAATGTAAACACCGTTGTTTATTATTAGTTCATGATAATTCACAGCGCATTAACTAATGTTAACAAACACAACTTTTGATTTTAATAATGCATTAGTAAATGTTGAGATTAACATTTAGCGAAGATTAATAAATGCTGTAGAAGTATTGTTCATGCTTCTTTCATGTTAACTAAAGTAGTTAACTAATGTCAACTAATGAACCTTATTGTAACCTAAGTGTTACCTTTTTCTTTATTTCTTTCAGTTTTGGGATGAACATCTTGCAATTCTAAATATGCATCCAAGAATAACCAGCAGGCAAAATGTTTACTCCAAACACATGTCTGGGATAAAGATGAATGGCCATCATAAACATATACTCCATTTACATCCGAGTTCTCATATACACATCCACACACACTCTTAGGAAGTCTTATGATGGACTGTTGTTAAAGTGGTTTTGTGAAGCAGCAAACTGAGCTCTGTTCTCTGCTGTAGAGGAGGATGACACATTTCAGAGTAGTGTGCATTGAGTAGTTTACATCCATCATTTACATTTGCCATTGTGTGATTCTATACATACACACACACACACACACTATCTGGGAAAGACACACACCATGTCTGGAGTTGTGACATACCACTATGAGGCTAGTGAGTGTATTTGTGCTCCCAGCATGCATACGCGTGTGCACACATTTTCATGTGTGGTTTGTGTTTGACTGGGTCTGTGGCCCGGGGTCACGTCACCGTAGCTTCACTGCAGGATGGGTCAAGTTCAGGCAACAGAGGTGGGAAAACAAGCAAACACACGATGAGTGTGCGAGAGAAAGCGAGTGACTCAACATGACGTCAATGCATGGATACAAGCACACTCATTCACTTAATTCATTCATATCTGCCACCAACAGGAATACAATATGGAGAAAGGGATGGTGCACCATGTGTGACTCTAAAAAAAACAACAAAAAAAAACAATAAAACCAGACAAATCTAAAGCTAGACTTTACATTTCTTTAAGAGGGCCTTCCCAGGACCATCACTTGCTTCGTTTCTGAGTGAATCAGCCGATTGAATGAGTCGTTTATGTGAGGGGTTAAGAGACAGAACTTTAGTCTAAACCAGGGGTGGCGAACGTCGGTCCTGGAGAGCCGCAGCCCTGCAGAGTTCAGCTCCAACCCTAATAAAAACTCACCTGCCTATAGCTTCCTAGTAACCCTTCAGGCCTTGATTAGCTTGTTCAGGTGTGTTTGATTAGGGTACCTAAAGAGGAAATGACTATTAAATCAGAATACAAAAATGCAAATATTTAGTTTTTAATGATGAAGTGTAATTTCTGAGCCATTAAGCGGAAGTGTAAAATGAACAACTGTTTTCAAACAGGTTTCCTGAACAATCCCCCTCGTCTGCTACTGGTCGCATAAACAGATAGCCCCGCCCCAAAGACTTTTGTATTTTAAACTGGAGTAGAAGACAGAATTTTTAAAATGTGTCATTTTTGTTAATCTTTAGTAAATCAAAAATATGAGTAAAATAAAGGAAACTGTGACAATAAAAGAGGGTTTAAACCGTGAAAAAAAATCATAAAAGCCTAAAATATTATAGAAAATGTGATTTAGTTATTAACACTTAGAAATCAATATATTAAGTGGGCGTGCTTGAGAAACTATTTAAATAAACTTCTATATAAATTAGGGATGTACCGATTCACTCAACTCACAATTCGATTCACGGTTTTGATTTCACGATTTGATTCACTTTTTAAGACAAATTATAAATTAAATGTCTTTTTATTATTGCTTAAGACAAAATGCTGCACATTTCTTTGTCAAATTGAAATGTAACACTATAATAATATACTAATATAGCACTTGTAAAATATTGCTCTTTTGTTGGTTTTGATTGCTTCCATTGTCCTCATTTGTTAGATAAAAGCTGGATAAAAGCGTTTGCTAAATAACAAAAATTTTAATTAATGTAAATGTAAATAACAAAACTAAATTTAAAATTTAAAACAAGCCCCAAATCAAATAAATATCACAAATAAAATAAATATCTTCATATAAACAAAGGCTTTGTCTGTGCTCTTAACATTTAAAATTAGAGGCAGCCACTGCATTTTAATCACGATCCAAACAAAGATGCTGCATACATGCAACATGAGCAGTTTTTAATCTAAATTAGGTTGTATAATTTCTCAATTTGAAGCAAAAACAGAATGGTTTGACTTAAATTTTGTAAAACTATACATAAAAAATTTCTGCATCAAACAGAAACAGCAGACGAGCTGAACGAGATGCAGATGCACTCTCTGCCAGCAGGTGGCGCTTAAAGCGTTTTCTTGGTTTCCGCTGTAAACAAAGCAGCGCTGCACTTATTAACTTTAATATGCAGGGCTCCAGACTGAGACCATTTTTTCTGCCTGTGCGACTAAATTTTGTGTGCGGTCGCTCCGGTGCGACCACCGCATTGGTCAACTCATAAGCGCTCCAATTTCTGTTGCATATGAGAAACATCAAAAGGCAAACGAAACTGAAAGCATAACGAAACAGCGCTTAGAGAGTATACCTACTCAGCAACAGCAAAAATGATGCGCATATTGAGGAAACGATGGATGGTTTTCAAGCGAAAATCAAGTAAAAGACCGCTTCTTAAACCAGAGAAGGGGAACATGCTGGTATTCTTGTGGGGAAAAAAACATGCAAGCACTGTCACCATGGCCGGACTTACCATTGGGCTTGAATGGGCTGCAGCCCAGGGGCCCCGCCTTGTAGGGGGCCCCGCCTTAACACGTTTACATTTGTTCAGTTATGTGCCAGTCAGAAATTATTAGCCGCATTTCAACTGCACACACGGGCCAGCCGGGGCAAACAACTTCCAGCTTCCAACTACATTAATTCGAAGCCATAATCAAACAGCATAAACTGGAATTTATGATTTTTTTTCACATAGAAAAAGGACACGTATTAAATCACGTCTGCGCTGAGCCGAATCGCAGAATAATTAGTGATCACATCGATACTT